AATGAACGGGATTAATGGATTCTTGGGGGGAATGGGATACGGAATTGGTAAACTGAGAGATTACAGTAGTGATATCAATGCTTGAGATAAAAAGTAACATGGAGTCAAGTATGGGGTGTATGCAAGATGAACAAGCAGAAGTACCAGTCAGAAGAAGAGAAGAAGGGAGATGTACACAGTGAAATGGAACTGAGGGAAAGAAACACAGACACAGAGAACAAAGATAGGGTTTAAAAGACAGTGAGACATACAAAAGGGATCCTTCCGAAGGATCCTGAGGTAGTGCTACCTTTCAGCTTTCCAGCATTTGGGTCCCATTTCCATAAGAAATACTGTTCTTGGATTCTACAACTCTCCCAGCTGAGGCTTGAAAACTGCTTTTTGTTAACTAGTATAAAGAAGTCACAGTTTTCTGCAGTGAAAATGGACGTAACAAACAAACAAATAAATAAATACAATTTGGAAAGAGCAAATAAGTAAAAAGTATAGCACGGTGGGAATGGCAGAATCCAGGCAGGACTGGATGCTTGTTTAATCTTTTGATTCTGTTGCAGTTTTACAAAGTTTATGACTGACTACAGATTAATCTAGACATTTACACAGACTTTTGCAGAGTGAATCACTATAGGAATATCTAATCACTGAATTTGCTCCATGGTTCCATGGCCTGAAGAAAATCTCAGTTAAAACAATTCTTAATGCAGCATTAACCTTGCTGATCTCAAGTGTTTATTTTCCCCTGTTGCATAGTATATGTTGTTCTTTCATCAGTGTGACCTTAATCATCTGTAAATTTGTCAGGTATTGTTGAATACAATATTCTAAATAACCCAGGACCCAAGAGCTCCAAGCTACATGCTTTCCTGATTGGACAAATAGTGCAAAATTGGAAATTCTTTTTCTCATTTGTTAGCTTAATTTTAAAAAGGAGCAGTTGGTTTTTAAAAAGTAAAACAATCTAAATAGCTCATTTTTCACAGTGAAAGATGATTCTTAACTTTCTTAACTTTTCATCATCTAAGTGTATACTCTTCAGCTTATAATCTTGAAAAGTTTATTTTATGATTTGTCTTTTAATGAGTGAAGAAAAACTTGTGGTTTTTTATTAGCATTCAAGCCTAGCCCTTTCTCGGTTACTCAAGAAAAATGTCATTAAGGGGAATATACAGAAATATACATGTACACATACACCCGTACACACATATACACACACTCACCTTTTTAAATATTGATTGTAGGTATTTATACCCATTCTGCCACATTTACAAATGAAGCGATGTATATATCTGTTACTGGTTTCTTGTAATATTTATCCATCAATCCCTTGCAAGTATTTAAAATGAAATGAATGGCAACTCTTTGTAACAGAAGGTTAGAGCTACAGTGTATCATTTTGTCTCAAAGTGTGAGTTAAGGACTGCTAATAGTTTATCTTAAAGTGATTGTGTTTATAACATATAGTTTTCTTTTGGCACGAATTAATAGTTTATCTTGGAAATATAAAATAAGCAAGCAAACAAACAAAATATATTGATATCTTTTGAAAAGAAAATCAGATTCCCCCTACTTTCTGATGAATACTTCATGATGGCAAGTGGGAAAGGATAATAAATAAATTGTTCCCAGAATCTTTGGTGCTATAAATCTGCAATGAAATCTCTACTTCTGGAATACATTGCCTAGAATTAGGAATTTATTCAAAAAAGAGCCAACGGTAAGGAATAAGTGAAAGAATAGTTTACAATATAAAAGATAATTTTAAAACTTTAACCATGAAATGCTTCCATATAACAATGCCATTAAGAAGTAGGACTAACATCCATAAAATTAACTATATTTGGCTTTTACTCTCTGTTACTGAATATGATTATTGTACATCTTATTGTAGTCACAAGATCATATTAAACCTGTTATAAATTTGAATCTGTGTATTCAGCCGTATTACTAATAAATATCCATAATATTGATTGCTGTCCTCCATATAATCTTTTACTTTAGCTGCTTGTAAAAGGCACCCAATAGATATTTGTCAAATGGATTCTTCTTTTTAATAGACAAATTTTCCAATAGCTTGGGGGATTTGGTGAAAACCATCTAGAAAGTTATTCTCCTTAATCTAAATTAAGTGTTGTTTATGCTGTGTTAAACACAGTGTCTAAATTGATATCTAAATTCGTTAAGATTGCTGGAACCAGAGTATGGAGATTTTAAATCCTGGGTGATTATTAGGATAAAATGAATTAGTACATGGAAAGTCCATCAGTACCTGGGCCATAGTAAATACACAGTAAAAATTTGTTCTTATTATCATTTTGAAAGAAAAATTTCTTATAGTACTCACGATTTGGTGTTATAAATTTATTAATATATAACTAATCTAAGAATTATTAAACAAACTCATAGACTAGACTTTATGTTTTAAAAAACACACTAGAAAAATTTCATCAGTATTTAAGTTAAGCTCCAAAGATATAAGCCATAAAAGAAAACAAGGAATTTTCGAAATAAAATTTAAAACATCTATGTGTTAAAGAAAATGTTCAACAAAATTAAATGCAACATGTGTGATAAAGGATCAATATCCTTAATAAGTAAAGAACTCATAAATTTATTTTTAAAAATGAGAAATGTATAAAAGAGAAACTAATTGCTCAAGGATCAACAAATGAAAAATGTTCACTAACTAGAAACCCAAGAAAGCTAAATTAAAACAACTATGAGCTGCCATTTTAAAATAAATTTAGTTGATTTTTTAAAATAATGATATACCATACTTTATCTGTATATCTAAAATTCAAATGCTCTAAAAACTGCCTTTTGTAATTCAATTGGCAGTAAAAGATAAAGTGACCTGGACACGCTGGCAGCAAACCAGCTAACTGATATGAAGTAGTCTTTATTTATGCTGCTAAGTGGGAATCATAATTTTGGCTGCATAAATACTCGTGTTTGGTTATAAAGTGCTTCTCCAGACTCTGCTTGGAGTGTTATGGAATAGAAAGCATTTGCAGCAGGTTAACTTTCTAAAATTAGAAAAATTCTGAATTCCAAAACCTATCTGTCCCTAAAAGTTTTGGATGAGGAATTGTGGACCTGTATTTAATTTGATGGTACAGAGGAACAAAGTCACTCATAAACTCCCAGTGAGATTATAAATTGGTTCTCTTCTGTGCGTGGGAAGTTGGTAATCTGGCTATTTATCAAAAGCCATAAAAGGGTGCATGCCCTTTAATCCAAAATTCCACCTCTAGGGATTTACCATTACTAAATTACTAGGAGAATGATGAGAGATTTAGGTTTTAGTAAATCCAACACAGATGACATATAACAGGTAAAAACTGGAAAGTCCCAAATGTTCAATAAAAGAAGACTGGAGGGATTACACGGCTCTAGCCACCCCCACAGACTACTACTGTGCCACTTGAAAAGTGATTCTGTGCAGTCACACTCATTCACGTCAAAAGATGCCCTTGATATTTTGTTAAGGAGAAAGATATATGCACATATGATCTAATTTCTTTTTAAAAATTATTTGTGAGGGCTGGCCCGGTGGTGTAGTGGTTAAGTTTGCGTGCTCTGCTTCAGCGACCTGGGGTTTGCAGGCTCCGATCCTGGGCATGGACTGACGCACCGCTTGTCAAGACATGCTGTGGACGCATCCCATATAAAATGGCAGAAGATGGGCATGGATGTTAGCTCAGGGCTAATCTTCCTCACAAAAAAAAAATAAATTATTTGTATATATATACATGTGTTTGTGTGTATACATATATATATAAATATTTGAAGGATAGTCACCAAAATATTAACAGTGTTTGTCTCTGGATGGCAGGTGATTCTTATTTTCTTTTTATAACTCTGCTTTGTCTACAACTGAACATGTGTTACTACCATAATAATAAAACTTTTAAATTTCATTTAAAGCATGTCAATATATCTTACCTAGATTTCAAGTTCTATATGTATAAAATTAATATCTATCAAGAAAAATATAATATTCTTCATATTTATAGGAGGTAATAATTATGAGGACTCAGTGTATTTGGAAAACAGTATCATAAAGCAAAGCCTGGGTTTCCAATAGCATGTTTTGCCTATAGTAGCATTTATAACATTGTTGATATTTTATATGTGTGTATTAAAATTAGCCATGGAGAGTTAGAAATATGAACCATATTGTCAAGGAAAGTGTGCTTAGAATTTTAGGCTCTATAAAAAATATGCCCAAAGCATATATTGGCAGCATTTGAATCCTGAGCCGTGTGGAGAGAACAGTAAGCTAAGCATCTCAAATAGCAGGATGTCAGCTGAGACTTTATAACGTCTTTGTTTCAGCCATCAGAAACAACTCTCTAGGGCCGGCCCCATGGCTTAGCGGTTAAGTGCTCGCGCTCCGCTGCTGGCGGCCCGGGTTCGGATCCCGGGCACGCACCAACACACCACTTCTCCGGCTATGCTGAGGCCGCGTCCCACATACAGCAACTAGAAGGATGTGCAGCTGTGACATACAACTATCTACTGGGGCTTTGGGGGGAAAAAAATAAATAAATAAAATCTTTAAAAAAAAAAAAAAAGAAACAACTCTCTATCTTCAGAAATATATTTTGAAAATATGATCTTTATCGTGAAATGCTCCTTTTAACAATACAAATAAATAAGAAAATTGTGTGCACTTTCAGGAAACTGATTTGCCTTCTGTATTTTCTTGAGTGGTGATAGCATGATGAAGTGCCATCCTCCTGCTGGCGTGGGATAAACAGCTAGACCCAGCAGTCTCTCTGCAGAGAAGAGAGCGCTGTGTTTCAACTGCCAATTTTCAAGTCAATGCTTCTTATAGTTCCTACAATATGTGTCTGAAATTTGGTGCTGACTCTGAATGCTTTATTCTGCTTTGTTAGACTATTTCTGCAACCCATGAACAATTAAATTGTATTACTTTTTGTTAGAAATTGTGATATCTGTTGCTTATTTACTGAAAGAAATAACTCTTTATTTTTCAGAGCTTCCATATGGCTGGGAAAAAATCGATGATCCCATATATGGCACTTATTATGTTGAGTAAGTCTCTAAGTTTGATACTAACTTGTTATTAATATATTATGAAATTGTGTTCGTATTTCATTTATTGAGTATGTGTGGCTGACAGTCCCTTTATTTCCCTTTCATCTTCCTTTGAAGTATCCGCAAAGACTCAGCAGCACTAGCTGGCCGTTTCTTGTCTCTCCAGCTGGCTAATTTGTCATTTCTTTCCTTTGACTCATGATTCTAAAACACCAATTGGAAAAATGTGTTTCACACTGTCCTCTAAATGAGTGATAATTAAAGATATCAAAGTAAATGTCCTTCATTTTGCAATCAAAGTGTTGGGAGCTGACTAGTTGTGCAAAAGAGATGTTCTATTAAACCAGATTTCAAAGTCAATTAGATGAAGCAGCCATACTTTCTAATTGAAGGATGAACTACAGTTTAGATATTTTTTCTGCATTTAAGACCCCATTTCAAATCAATAGCATTCTTCCTATAGATTGGACTTGCATGTTATCTCTTGGAGGATGCATTGACTTAATGTATCTTAGCATAATATGAGCTATCCCCTCTATGCGTCCTTTTATTCAGAATAAAGCCTCTATTAGGGATTAAATTATAAACATATTTTTTCTTAGGAAAATCAAGTAATTTTATAATTTTCAAAAGTTAAACATTTGGCTTATTTTTCTAGAACCCCTTTTCTGATAGAGAAATTTTTATTATTATCTACTGTGTCATGTTGTTAGTGTTATTTGGGCGAATAAAGCCAAAGAAATACAGAGGTTGGAAAACTAAAGATGTTCACATTATTAAGATCTAACTATTGTCTCTAATTATATTCTGTTTAACAATAATAATCCACATGGTCAAGGGTTACAGATTGAGGACATTATTGCTAAATTGTTTTGTAACAATATTCAAACAGTTGCTAAGCTTTTACTAGGTATCAAGCCCTTCTTTGTGCTGGAAGTTACTGATGAGTAAGACCTGTATGCCCCTGCCTTTCAGCATCTCCCTCTTGAGCACTTGTCTTGAATGCTTTGACCCACCATCTTCATTTGGAAAAGCCCCCATTTTGCCACCACAGTCAGTCATTTCCAGCCAAGGTGAATTCACCTCATTTGCCACATGCAATCTTGTAACATAGTATCTAGTGCTCTAATGTCATGTGGACACTCAATAGATGCAAAAAGTAAGATAAACACATGGAGGTATCACTAACTGCAAAAATAAAGGGAAATCACCTGTAAATACTTATAAGGTTCCGTCCCACTAAAATGCTAATCAATTAAAATGCACATATATTTTAATAATAATGTAGCTGCAGCTCCTGGATAAATTTATCTACATTAAAGGTTTCCAATAAATGCTAGCTTGTCTTAGTTCGCTGAACCAGACTGTACTGTGCCTAAGCCTATTATACCTGAAATCCAACGTAGTTCCATGTAAGGAAAGAGAACTGAGGGATGTGACATGCCAAATCTCATCTTTAATACACTTCCTTGCAGAATTCATTGCATCTATTGGCAAACTACATAAAAAGCCAGATAACAAATATTTTGGGGGGCCATATGGCCTCTGTCCCAACTATTCAACTCTGCCATTGTAGCTTGAAAGCAACCACAGGCTGCTCTTAAATGAATGGGCATGGCTATGTTCCAATAAAACTTTATTTACAAAAACAAGCAGCTAGCCAAATTTGGCTTGCAGGTCATATTTGCTGACCCCTGCCCTATTCTAACTCTTCAGATTGTTCTTCCATGTCTTCAACTCCTTTCAAACTGACTTCCAATATGGGAAATTGTATTTAACGCAAACCTTTCTTCTCTGCCCTGATTACCTATCATAGAGGTGAGACACTCACACGTCAGAAAGTGATGCTTGCTACCTTCTTGATCATTGAGGTGTGTGTTCTTCAAGTAAAGATCTGCTGCTGGTAGACTCCTTAATTATTGAATTGGACATTAGCTGTAACCCTAAAAGAAAATTGCACTCATTATCCTTATATTTCAAATGGTTGTCTTTTTATATGTTTTTGCTTACATTATATTTCTCTCTACATTTCTTCACTTCATTTTTCATGTATCAATGCCATAGCTAGAAAATCATTCATAATTTAGTCAGCCATGTCTTACTTACTTAGATCAGACTAACATATTTAGTAGTTTTAGATTTCAAGTGATTGTGAGGGCATAGATACAGGTCATAGTGAGTCAAATAGTTTAACTTCCTTCAAGTTGCATCTAGTTCTACTACTTCTCATGGCCTTTGCCCCATTACATGAGTCCATAAGGTGTACCAATACCAATACTTAGGTGTAGGGGTGTATCAGACCAACCAGAAAATTGAGACAGATAATTCAAACCTAAAGATAATTTTAAGTGGAATTATATCCCGATATTTCTTAGAAATGTCCTTTGGAAAAAATTCATCAAAATAATTTAAATACCTCAACTTATTCTATATAATGTAAACATGACTTGAAATGAGGGATATCTTCCATCACAATAAAGACAACTTGTCTATTTTAACCGGAATATACCACTTACATGGTTTGTTTTAACTGTTCAAAAATATGAATCTCATCTCCATTACACTGTTGTTTTCACAAGGTATATATTGGTTCTCAATAGTAGTCTTGTTTGTGGAATCTATATGAATACATATGTGACATAGTGTATATTCATCACTTTAAGTCCATAGAGTATTTCTGCTGGGAAAAGTCTCTCAATTTCTTACAGTTAATTATGCAGAAAAAATACTAAATGTCTGGTTTAAGTTGCTATATCAACTTTTCATTATAGATATCATAAATATAAAATACAATATGCCTAGATTGACAGTGTTTATAATTGTAGTGATAACATTAAAGTCAATGTCTCAAGGAATCATGTATTTTACTTTATAATATTAATATTCAGTTAATGTTAACAAAGCAAGGTAGTCTTTATTGTAAATCTGTAGTCAAGAAAATGTTGATTCACTAATTCTATTAACAATGATGGACAATGGATTCTCTGTAGAGCTATCATTTTGGGTGTTTAATTATACACCCATTTACACAATTAGAGATACTGGTTACAAAATATGAAAAACATCCCACCTTCCCCCCCAGTGGCAAAAAAGCCCATGCAAGGGCACTAGAAATCTAACTTAGTGATCAGTCGCTCTCTTCAAATAGACCAACAGCCAGGAGAGAAGTTGCTGAGTGGCTCTCTGTCCTCAGCAGGGCATGTCAGATTGAAATCAACCTGTGCCTCTGGCACAGTTGCACAAACACTCATTTTTCTGTCAGCCACAGACAAGCAGATAGGCATTCCAGCAATCACTAGCAGGAAAGTGTTTATACCACTTGAACCTGAAAAACCTGGATTGAATGGTTTTTGACCACTATTACTGACTTTACCCTTCAGTGCCATAATTCTGTCCTGTGCAAATTCAATTTTAAGATTACAGGTTTAATATATTCAAAAGTCAGAAAAATTATCATCACCATCATCATCATCATCATATCATCAAAATAGTTAACATTTATCGAGTGCTTAGTCTGTGCCATGATCTGGGCTCAGTGCTCAACAGTCTTTACCACATTTATAATCTTCTCTGTAGTGATAAGAAGGTAAATTGTCTTAAGTTTACAGATGGGGAAACTCTGGCTGAAGAAGTTCAGTAACTTACCCAGTATCACACATTATTGAGAGGAATGGCCATAAATTGGACCCTAGCACTCTGACTGTGGAGCCCAGACTCCAAAAAAATTCATCCCGTAAATTTAGCATTCATATCCGTAATGGTCCTAACAAGCCTCTGAGACTCATCACTGGAGAAGAATGAGGGGTCCCTAGAGAACATCTCCTCCCTGGCTGCCTTCTAGTACAGTGTCACAAGAGGATGTCCAACAATGGGAGATCGTGGTGCACACAACCCTGTGAGACTGGCTTCTGACCCAAGCATTCTGAGCCGCCAGCTCCATTCCCCACGACTTGAGAGTGGCCCCAGACAGCATGGCCACCAAGAGCAAGACTTGCAAAACCTGAAAGAAAGGAAGTCCATAGTGTGTGGACCTGAACAGAGGGATGTTGGCACTAGTTTGGAGCAATAGAGGCAGCCACACAGCTCTGTAGTTTAGAGAGCACTAGGCCCTACTCAACATCTTTCCTGATTTCCTCTGCAGACAGGGCAGATGGACCAAGTTTTTACTCTATGTAGCAGCAGAAAGAAGGTAGCCCAATTTTTCCTGACAGACACCAAATCCATGACGGTACAGCAACGTATTAAGAAGTCCTAAAGTTGCTAACTAGAAATGTAACTGTCACTGTTCATAAACAAAGGGGAAATTTTAATGAAAAAAGTACAAACTGTAAAGTTGAACAGCTGTGACTTTTGTACAAATGTGGTTTTTTCTCCTCTTTTGTGAAATTATATCTGCTGGGTACATTTTGGTTTCAATGGCAGTTACACAATTCGCTTAACTAGCTAGTCCAGAAGACACAATTTCCTGGAACAGCTTTCCTGCAAATCTGCCTCCTCTGGCACAGACAGAAAAGCAACTATATAAGTACCGTTAAAATGATAGTGGGGACTGACAGATGTGATTTTCATGTAAAGGTTTTACAAGTTTTTCATGTGATGTCACACATCTGCCACTACAAAATGTTACTCATGTGAATTCCAGGATGTATGAAAGATACTGCATAATACCTTCAATGTAACATTAAATGTACAAGGAAAATCACATTCATTTCCAGGTTAATGATGAGTATTCGTCATGATGTAGCAAGTTGGAAAGTGGTTAGAGAGGAGTTTAACTCAACATCATATCTTAAGAATGTTTCTCTCCTTCGTGCTTTTGAGTAGTTTTCTAAATTTTCCAAGAAAAAAACTTCCTAACTTTAGATTAAAATTCAGCATGAATGTAAGACATTTCCAGTTAGAAATGAACAGAAAAGAATACTCTTTTAAAATCTCACTTGTTCTTAGAGAATTTTTTTCCTATGCTCAAAGTTAATTTTCCAAACTTTCAGTTTTTT